ACACCAACCATTCCTCCTGCAGCACCCACCACCTCTCTGCTTGGTTCAATAATTCGCTGCAGTGGCCACACAGAACTCATAGATTATGGGGTTTATTAGGGAAACAACAGGCTACAATTGAAGTTCAGGAACACGCTCAGTCTTTCTCAGCAGCACGTGTCTCCCAGGAGCACGTTTTTCTCAGCCAGCAGTCAGAGAGAGATTCCTTTTGCCTCTAGGAGGGCTCCTTTTGAGCCTGGCAGAGTGGCCAAACTAACCAATCATAACATTAGAATTCTAAGCACCTGAGAGACAGCGAACTTCCCAGAACATTGCTTTGTGCCACTCTCAACAGAAATACCCCAGGTGGATAACTATCAAGAGCTCCTTAGTTGCTCACAGCAAATTCCACCATGGAGTTTACAAAGACTTACGGCTAGAAAAGCCGTACCAGGTAATTTATTACACTGCACTTACAAATAGCAACAAAATAAAAATTAAGAGAAAGTAAGTATGCCATTACCATACTTTGAATTTTAATTGTTTAGCAATCAAATGTTTATTGAACACCAACAATATATGCCATGTACCGTCTTAGGCAGTACGTACACAACATGAATAAAACAGACAAGACCTTTGCTTTCAAATAACACTCAGTTGATAAACCCATTACCTTTTCTTTGAGAATTTTCAGGATCTCTGAATTTTGGAGCTGAAAAGTGCCTTACAGATCATCTAGTTCAACCTCTTTGTTCAAATGGAGAACCTGAGCCACTAAGATTCACAGGAGAGTAAGAAAATTAGGAGACAGTTCAATAATTTTGAGCAATGACAGCAAACTGTATGCAAATGAGTAAAAAAGTTCACTATATTGTTAGCATCATAAATGAGTTTAAAAAAGGTATAAATACAAGTTCAGTTGTATTGATATAAATGACAGATTCCACTATATTATTTATCTTCCAGTTAAAATTAAGGAAATAAATGCCTTTTTTTTTTTCTTTAGCACTGTAATTAAACCAATTTTGTATCTTATAGTAACAGTCCCTGGGTGGTGGAAACAGTTAACATGCTCAGCTGCTAACCAAAAGGTTAGTGGTTCCATTCCACTCACAGGTGCCTCGGAAGAAAGGCCTGATGAGCTATTTTAGAAAAATCAGCCACTTGCAAATTGTATGGAGCACAGTTCTACTCTGACATTCATGAGGTCTTCATGAATTGAAATTGGCTCCAAGGCAACTGTTTGTTGTTGTTTGTTGTTTTTAAGTAACAGACTTAACTCTGAAAATGCTTTTCTGCTTATGGACTCAAAAGTTTCAAAAGCAACTATAAAGATGATGCTGTTTGTGAGTGTCTAGGTAGTGTTGATAAAAATAATGTATCTTCCTTCCTTAGTAGAATCATAAGAGTTTAAAACTGGCTCTTATTTCAAGGATGAGAAAATTGATTCTCAAAGAGGTTAATTGACTTGCCTAAATAAGAGCCAAAATTAGCAACTTATATTTAAGGAAGGGGTCTTTTTCTAATATTGAGATTATATATTGATATTCAGATATCAATTATTATATTATCAGACCTGCTGACCATTACCTTGTTTTTTAAAAACCTGAGAAATTGACAAAAGAAAAATCAAGAAGTAGACATTATAATCTAGTCTCTTGGTATTATTTCTAATTGATGTATCTCTTATGCTAAAAAAGTACTCAATATTCAGTTGCTGGTCACAAATAATTTTTCCCCCACAATAGGTATTGTCTTCTGAGAACGCTGAAGCAATGTCAGACTTTGAGAGAAGCTCTCATTGGTGCAGGAAAAGAGATTATATGGCATGGGCGGACAAAAGAAGAACCAGCTCATTATTGTAGCATTTGTGAGGTAAGTAACTATTCTTATCCACAGTTGTTTTATAAAGCCTCTTATGTCTTTAGTTTTCCTTTTTCTTTAGTTTTTTTTTTTTAACTTACAAGTAAATTTTTTAAACATAATGCTAAAGAAAAATCAAAGTATTTTACTGAAATTGACCTTGTCTTTAAATTTCATCATTTTCTTGTTTCTTAGCTATTAAAATTTGATCTGATGATGTTATATTTCACTAACTGTAAATCAACCATAAAATTATCTACTACAGAGTCATCCATCCACTAGATCTTTAACAGATGATAATCATCAAGAAGTTTAGTCTGAGCTTTTAAACTGAACACAATCCAGACTTACACAGATTTAAATAAACTAGGTGTTACCTAGTATAACTCCAAGGTAGATTGACATTAAGGCATCTCTGGTTCAATTTACAAAAAGTTTGTCAATTTTCTCCCTTGGCCAGGACTTTAAAATGGTACCAGAAACAAAGATGATGTGGTGCGTGCTCTGAAGGAACTTAGATTCTTTTCAGCAAAAGTTGTGAACAAGTAATGTACATGACCTAAATTTTCCTTCTGGTATTGGGTAAGAGTTTACTAAAATATTAACATTTGAGTCCATCCTTCAAGGATGAATATGATTTGAACAAGCCAAAAAATGGGCAGAAATGGAGGTAGAATGACATCAGCATGAGAGTAGAGGTATGGAATGTTTTGTTTGGGAAAAAGTCAGTAGTCTAGTATGACGGGAACACACTATGTAGATTATACTTACAAGTCTAGATGATAAGTGGTTTGCAAAGCGTCCTCCCCCCACCCCTTGAGTATGGCTCTCTGTGCACCAGTCATGTGGAGCAGGTGAGGGTGGGTTGGGCGGGCAGTGGCTGCCATCTGTCATCAATCCATTGGTGCAGGAGTGAGTGGTGACACTTGCTGTGTGGGTAGGGCAGCACGTGTGGTGTTTGCAAAGCATCTTGAATGATTTTCAGGAATTTGGTATTTTTTCTGAGGTCACTGAAGCCATCAAAAGCTTTTGAGCAAGAGACTAAGATTTGTTTTAGAGAGAAAAGTAATTGGAGAGGATGGAGATAGTAAGCTATTGCAGTGATCTACATAAGAATTGTTATCTTAAGGCCTAGACTAGAACCTAGCAGTAGTAATATTAAAGGAGAGAATTAAAAAATGCTTAGAAGGTAAAATCAATAAAATAACTCATTAAATGGCAGAAGTTGAGAGTCAAGTGAAAGAGTGCTCATAAATTTTCCAGCTCAGATCATAGGCTCATGTTGTTACCCATTGATAGTAATGGAAAACATGGTGAACTCTGGAATTTTAATTAACATACTATTCAAAGATGACATGAGGTCATGAGTTTTCTGTCACTAGAGAAATTTAAGCATAAGCCAAAAACAGAGATATTGATAATCCATTCCAAATCTTGAAATTCTGTAATTCTGAGGTTAACTTTCATTTCAAATTACTGAGTCCATTGGCTATTTTAATGTTGTATAACCTGACCAAAGAAAGTCACTAGGATATCAGATATATTCTAGTAAGGTGTATTATACTTCAGAAAAATGAATATATAAGCTTTCCAGTATTTGAGAATAAACTCCTATCCCACAATGTTATTCCTTATTCTGCCTGAGCCATAGCAACTCATCAGTTATTCCATATAATATAGAGTTATTGTTTCTAAACCATACAGTGTTCACAAATACACTGTTTATATCCATAATCGTTAACACATGAGACTTATAATTTAACATTCACTCACTGTTACTTACATGACAACCATGTTTTTCTTAATACCTACTCTTATTCAGAGATCACTGTCCACAATTCCATGTGAAGTAGAATTCCATAATTTTACTAAAGCAGTACAGTAAATACGACTATCTGTATTGAATGCTTTTTTCTCTTGTATAATAGGTGGAAGTTTTTGATCTGCTTTTTGTCACTAATGAGAGCAATTCTCGAAAGACTTACGTAGTGCATTGCCAAGACTGTGCACGAAAAACAAGTGGGAACCTGGAAAATTTTGTGGTGCTAGAACAGTACAAAATGGAGGACCTGATGCAAGTCTATGACCAATTTACATTAGTAAGTAAAATAAACATGTGAATGTATAGTTAGCTGGGTTGTGAAGGAGCAGTGTTTGCTCTGCCACCTGATAAGTAGGAGATAATAAAATAATTAAATTTTCCTTTGGCTCATTAGATAGAACATGAGAATATATTCATACCATCTCCCCCCCCACACACACACACACACACTTGCAAGGAGTTTACTTATATTCAGTTGGTATATATAGTTTTCATTTTTGTTCCTGGTTGAGACCAGCCTAAATCATCACAGTACTCATACTTAAAAATCTTTGTATACTTTTATAAACTTATGTGTTTCTATTCATAAAGCTATTGATCTGCTAGAGTGAAATACTTGCTCTTACACTTCTGCTGTTTGAAATTAAAAGCTATCTGCAATTTATAAGTATACTCGAATTTCATAAGATTATATAACATACCAGGAAGTTAAGCTCCATCAAATATTCCCATGAGGTTAATACTTCTGGCAAGGACAAAATTTTAATTAGCTCTAAAAGCAGAAGTATATTTAAAAGCACACTTACCGATTTATTTTTCGATTTGGGATCAGAAAACACTATTTATATGATTAAGGAACCCTGTTGGCACAGTGGTGAAAGTGCTCAGCCGTGAATTGAAAGGTTACGGTTCAAACCCACTAGCCACTGTGTGGGAGAAAGATGTGACAGTCTGCGTCCATAAAAATCACAGCCTTGGAAACCTTTTGGGGCAGTTCTACTCTGTCCTGTAGAGTCACTGTTAAAGTCAGAATCGCTCAACAGCAATGGGTTTTGGGGGTACAGGGATGATCAAAAAATAAATCG